TGACTACTGATTATGATATTTTAAAAATCCCATCAACGAAAGTGAAGCTCTGGATCCTGCCAACAGATTAACTGTAAGTGGTGCACAGGTTATGGTGATATTTCCTTACCTCAGGGAAGGTAAGAAAGGTTGCATCCCTGTTTTCACATGACAGGGGTTAATGCTCAATCGGCTCTTTGCTAAGTCCCGCCCCTCTCGGTTACTGTTGCTGTCTGGCTACATGGCCGGTCAAAAATGGCATTTTCTAGAATATTGGTGAGAGATAAACCAAAAGAAATAATTGCAATAATTACTATTTCTGGAATAGTAGTTCTAAAATATCTGAAATAATAATACATATACAGGAACAATGTGTTTTTGCACAGATATTGCATTAATATATTGTTATATTTGATGCTAATGTTTAGTTGTGACTAGCTATAGTTTTCATTATCCAGCGTTACGGTTTTAGCATCGCTAGCTACACTAAATAATCCCACTTTTCATTAGATTAAAGTGCTGCAGGATAGGGTTTGCACAATGTGGGCTTGATGCTGCACCACTGGCACAAACCAATAATAAAGGCTGTGCCCACATGGTGGTGGTGGTCGGGAAGACAAGACACGATCGCAAGCATTTGAAGATTACGAAGAACGTTGTACTTGGAATGTTGATTTCGGAACGTTCTCAGAAAATTGTTTTTCTTACGTTTTCATAAATTTGCTTTCCTAATATTGTTCTTCTAATGTTCATGTGTTTTTATCATTTGCTAAGGGCTAATGAGTGTCCAGTCAACAGACCTAGTAGGATAATATAATAGTATAATATATATATATATATATATATATATATATATATATATATATATATAATAGTAATATATTATTAAAGTATAATACTAAAAACAAAAAGATAGACTTAGACAATGGAATTAAATGTGGTGACTGATTGTTGGGACTGACAAATAGTCTGAAAAGCAGAACCTCGGTAGAATACAGTATATTTCTGTAAATAAAGACGCTCCTACAAACAAAATGTGGTTATGGAAACATTATTAACATCCTCTATTGGTCTCGTAACATCTGCACTACATATCATGTTTTTATGTTCAGCTGATGACGTCAGTGTTGTCTGCTGACTTGTTGGGTTTTCCTCACATCTTCTGTGGATCCTGTCATTGGCCGCTGACTCCTGGTTGAGGAGATCAAAGCGAGCATAAAGGATGATCAGGGCCCGCTGGCTTCTGTAGCCTCAGACATTCTGGATCTCCTGCCTCATATCTTTACTGCAACGTTACGTAATACGTTTGTAGGAACCGGCGTCATATTATTACCTCGTTCTTCCCAGAAAAAAACTATAGTCTGACTTATATTATGTTAATATGTCAGTAAGTCACCAGCTGCCCGCATCCACCCAGCGCCATGGTTCTGGGAGTACTAGGTGTTCTGGTGTCTTGTCTGTCCTCGCCAACACAGGAACCCAACAGGAAGTGATCTCACTGCCTTAGAGAAACAAGAGCCAGTTCTCCACCTGCTCTGCTCACCCTCTCTTTGGGATCTGGTGGTTACATTTCTTTGTTCAGTTTCAGTTCAACAACAGCTGTTGTGGTGCAAATCTGAACAGGCTCTGCAATATGACTGTAGCTCACAACTCCAAACGTCCTCAACAGACAACATGCTGCTCTGTCAAGTATGGAACACACATCAAGCTGTACACTTTATTGGACGTGTTGTCTTTTCTCCTGCATAACCTAGCTTTAGTATCAACACTTGCCATATACATTAACTAATAACCTTCTCTTTGTGTTTCCTGTAATGTAACATGGTCTGCTTTACGTTTCCCTCAGAACAATATTTGCTGCTGTAAATGAGTTGTATATAATCACAGTTTCTGTGAGACAGGGTTGTGTAGGTTCACGTGTGCACACAAGTCTTAAACTTGTGAGCATTCTTTGACTAATTTAATGCATTTTCATCGATTGTTCATTCAGAACAAAATTTCGCTCAGAGACAGTTTACAGTAAATGTTCCACCAACATCCCTCAGCTCTGATCATCTGACGGTCAAATCTTTAAGTCATAAGGCCTCAAAGTCAAAGACACAACCATGTCCACATGTTCATCATTCTCATTTCTTTTACACAAAGCCAGTAGTCCCGTCATGTCTCTACAACATCACACAATCATTGATCTTATGTTTATGCTCTGTGACTTTGCAAGCATAAAAAATATGTATTTTACTGAGTCTGCTGTGAACAGTAAGCAAGAATAATTGTTCACCTCGGTCAACCTTTGTCCTTTAAATCCGCCAAAAGATCTTAGAGAAGAATAGACGTCCTTCACAAACCTTGCTCCGCCCATATTTGAATCACACCTTCATTTTGATTTCCACTACACACCTGTAACATTTCATGACTGCATCTTACAAATTGCGGTGACAAAATCTGTCCACAGACAGAAATGTAAACACCTGGCAAAGTACCCAGAAGCTCTGCTGTGGTAATTCCCCATGACCACATTGTGCCATGATGACGCGCACACACATCCTCACAAGGCTGTAGAGGCTGGTAGTTCATCACACCCAAGCTCACTGTCGCTGTGAACACTGCTGTTCAGTCTGCAAATACACACACGCAACTCACAACAACTGAAAATTGAAATCTGGTTCATGTTCCTGTCTGACAGGAAGCAGCACGTCAAGCTGGGAAAGCACAGCTCAGCCTCTCAGACCATCAGCACTGGTTCCCCCCAAGGCTGTGTTCTTTCCCCTCTGCTCTTCTCCCTGTACACCAACAGCTGCCCCTCCAGTCACCAGTCCGTCAAGCTCCTGAAGTTTGCGGATGACACCACCCTCATTGGACTCATCTCTGGTGGGGATGAGTCCGCCTACAGGTGGGAGACTGACCATCTGGTGACCTGGTGTGGTCTGAACAACTTGGAGCTCAACGCTCTAAAGACAGTGGAGATGGTTGTGGATTTCCGGAAGAATGCAGCCCCACCTGCTCCTATCACCCTGTGTGACTCCCCTGTCGACGCTGTGGAGTCCTTCCGCTTCCTGGGCTCCATCATAACCCAGGACCTCAAGTGGGAGCTGAACATCAGCTCCATCACAAAGAAGGCTCAGCAGAGGATGTACTTCCTGAGGCAGCTGAAGAAGTTCAACCTGCCAAAGACAATGATGGTGCACTTCTACACTGCCATCATTGAGTCCATCCTCTGCTCCTCCATCACGGTCTGGTACGCTGCAGCCACGGCCAAGGGCAAGGGCAGACTGCAGCGCATCATTCGCTCTGCTGAGAGGGTGATTGGCTGCAATCTGCCGTCCCTCCAGGACTTGTTCACTTTAAGAACCCTGAAGCGAGCAAGGAAGATTGTAGCCGACCCCTCTCACCCTGGACACAAACTGTTTGTGCCCCTTCCATTTGGTAGGAGGCTGAGGTCTATCAGGACCAAGACCTCACGACACATGAACAGTTTCTTCCCTTCGGCAGTTGGGCTCATTAACAGAGCCCGGGACCCCCACTGACTCTGTCATCCCCAGGACAAATTCCCACCGGTCACTCCCCTGCACATCCCTTCTATTACACTCAGTGGCGGGCCGTGCATTTTATACCTGGGCCTTCACTGCTGTCCTGCAGCTGAAATACCACATTATAACCACATGGTGGCGCCACATCAATTATTCATTTTTAAGGCTGTTTACTATATACGTATTCGTATTAAACCGTTCGGTACGAGGCTTACAATACCTTTGAATGATAGTAGAGGATTTGGAAAATGCAGAAGCTTAAATTCAGGAAAATATAATGTTTTCTGTGCTCATGTAGGACAGTGATTCACAGCTGGTCTGGCTATGGGACCCACCATCATTCCTTAATGACAAGCCGCGGCCCAGAGAGTTTGTCTTATGATTTTACATTCATAACTTAAACATTAGATGTACTGCTCTGCAATGTCTTTCCTCGTCTCAGCCCCCTGTGTCACGGTGTGTGGTACATCTCACTCAGTCAGAATGCCCATATTTGATTGGCTGAGCTGCATCACGTGATGTGATTCACTACCCATCAGCCTCTGCTGTTAAGTTTCGTTTCACGATAGTCACGTGCTCGCCCACTGACCAATCACAGCACGCTCTGCACCTTGCAGCAGAGCTGCATGGAAACTGAGCTGCATGTAATGCTGACGTAGCTATAGGCCGGCTAGCAGGCTCTGACACGTCAAAGAATACGCCCAACATGTCAAACTAAAGATCTGATTGGTTGAACACTATGACAATCAACAATATCGTCTCCATTCACTTAAACTGCACATGGATTCACTTGTGAGTCTGCAGGCCTCTGCCTCTGTTCTTACCTAGAGACACAGAGGTGAGATCTGATTGGATAAAAGCTCTACTTAAAACAAGCTGCACTGGAAGCAGAGCAACTGAGGAAGACAGTAGCTGTGCAATGAGAACATAAGATAATGGAGAAAATATTTATATGAATTATAATACATGTAGTGTATTTAAGAACAATTATTAAATTATAAAATAGATATAGCTTCTGATTCTGTTTAGGCCAGCAGAGAAGGCCTTGCAGGCCCTGACGGCCCACCACTGATTACACTCGACACTTTTACACTACACTTACATCTCACTTGTATATAGTCCTGTTATCTGTTCGTTTGTGCACTTTATTTTATTTTATATTTCACTTTATATTATATTCCACTTTATTCTATATTTTATTTTATTTTATATTTTCTGTAAATTCAATATGTTTCTACTTTGCACTGTTGATTGTTGTTGATTGTTGTTAAATGTTTTGCACCTCCCGTCATGTCAAATTCCTTGTATGTTCAACATACCGTGGCAATAAACGGTTCTGATTCTGATTCTGATTCTGAGTGCTGTGTCAACAGCAATCACTGGTGATAATAATTTAGGCCACCAGATGGCAGGAGACACAGCCATACGGGGAAAAACTGCTGCCCTGGAAAATGAGAGGCGGGTCCCAGAATAGGAAGAGAGTGGGATTGAGGAGTAAGAGAGTGAGAAGAAAGATGACAAGAAAGCAGAGAAAATTGCGTGTTTGAGTCGTCATGCTGTCACATCTGAAGCTAAATGTATCTATCAAGTCATTCTGAAAGTAGAAGTTATCTCTGTGTTTCTCTCCCTCCCCTCTTCTCTCTCTCTCCCTCCATCCTGGTAATCTCTCCCTCTCTCTTCTGTTCTTAGACAGATAGGTTTTCCTGTCAACCTGCAGACAGATGTGGGAGCTGCAGCTGCTCTAAACGGAGCTGGATAGGTCAGCCTGGAGCCAAACGGCAGCAGCATGCCACCTTAAGCAGCTGTCCACGTAAGTATGCTCCACTCACATGTCACTGTTGCTTCCACAGACCACATGTGCTGCTGATGGCTCACCGTTGCATGCTGTAAAAGATGTTTGTGCTTTGAAGTTCAATCTATGTTTAGTGACCCAAAACTGACTTTCAATGGCAGCTATACATTATTGGGAAATGAATGTAACCTGACCTCGCTCAAATTGCAACAAGCTATTTTATTTGTTTCGTAACCCTAAAGGTATCCTCTGACATTCAAAGAGTGAATAATCTGAAGGGAAAACCCTGAGAACCAGGACATTCAACATGGCCACCACCTGCCCAAGTGACAATAATTACTTCATATTTGAAAGGGTTACAATCACAGATGGGCAGTATTTATGTTGCTTGCATTTGAAGTATAATTTCGACAGGGTCACACCATGGCCAAAGAGGCACGTGTGGAAGGATTATATGTTGGAGATTTTTAAAAATGTGACAAATGTCATGAACTTTTTTTTTTCATCCAGAACAGATTTTGGAAACAAAATCCACTGAATTTGTTTTTTTGTTGCAGTTTGTGTGAGGTTGACCCACATGTTATGTAAAACGCTCGGACTAAACTGGAAACATATGGCCAACATTTTACCATTTACCCCTTTCCGGTTTGTGCTGTTTTTTGGAAAAATGGAAATGTGTTACTGCATACGAAAATATAAAGTAATGGAAGATATTAATACAGACCAATGACTCAATAGTGTGACCTGTTATAACAAAGCGTGCATGCGTAAACAGTGACTCTGACAGTTGGAGTGCACTCTGGCACAAACTGGGCTGTTGATGAACTCAGAGTGCTGCTGGAATATACCGTTGGGTTATTAAGAGCACCACACTACTCTGCACTCTGTCTGAGGAGAGAGCAGCAGAGCAAGCAAGGACAGTGAATGTGTGACAGCTACTTGTTTGCCATACTGTTGAGGGTGTGTTCATATATCCAATCTGACGATCTAAATAAACAAACTGAACTAAAAGCGCTGTTGTTCAAAGAAATAGAGCATTTATGTCTCTATGAATTAACAAACGGGTGAGATTAAATGGATGTAAGGAAAACAGTCCCATCGTATGTAGATCACAAAATAACATCTCTTGTTAGAGCTTGCTGCCAGTGAGGATGACGTTGATGATGAGACATGAGACTACAATATGCTCAGGAGTTAATAACAATGCTGCCTAGTTAGCTTAGCTAAAAACCTTCATGAATAGTGTGGCAGAAATGTTTAATACGTTTTCAGGCAAGAAAGTAACCATTTAGACATGTGCTCAGTTTATCCAAATAATGCTCGACTGGAAATCTTTCAGAGCGAACCCACCAGCAGGAGGCCTTCAGACAGCTGTCGCTGGAGCAAACAGTCAGTGCACACAGTCTGCTGGTAGAATCCTACTTTACTGTAGAAGGCAGGACGCAGTGCATACTGAATAAGTATGTAGGATGAAGTATGCAGTATGCAGTATGCAGCAGTATGTAGTATGCAGTACGGTAGTATGCGATTTCGAACACAGCCAGACTGCTCAGAGTATTGTCTGCCGCTCTGAGGGTCTGGTGCTCTGAGGGTCTGGTGCTCTGAGGGTCTGGTGCTATGAGGGTCTGGTGCTCTGAGGGTCTGCCGCTCTGAGGGTCTGGTGCTCTGAGGGTCTGGTGCTATGAGGGTCTGGTGCTATGAGGGTCTGGTGCTATGAGGGTCTTGTGCTATGAGGGTCTGCCGCTCTGAGGGTCTGGTGCTATGAGGGTCTTGTGCTCTGAGGGTCTGCCGCTCTGAGGGTCTGGTGCTCTGAGGGTCTGGTGCTATGAGGGTCTGCCGCTCTGAGGGTCTGGTGCTCTGAGGGTCTGGTCTGTGAGCATCTCTGGCTGTGAACTGGCCTGGCAATGTCACAGTGATGACAAGACTCCAGGAAGTCACTGCTCAACAAGGAATAGTTCCAGCAAGTAACGCAGTCTAAAACCACATTGTTGTCTTCACATTTCTTTTGAACAAATGAGTTACAACATGACTAACTAACTAACTAACTGTACATAGTGGGCTTTGGAGATGCTGTATATACAGTATTTTTGGATTTTGAAATGAGCCTGGCTAACTCTTTCCCCCCATTTTCAGTCTTCATGCTAAGCTAAGCTAATGAACTGAATACAAAAGGTGTATCGCTCAAAATGTTTTAATGGTTTCAGTTGGAACCAATAGGCTTGAGTCTGAGTGCCACAGACAGAGTAGGGAAGCATTGAGAAATGGACTCATCATTAGATGTTTTATAGACTGTTAACATGGAATTTATTCCAATTTGGTTTGTATTTCAAATCAATTAAATTCAAAATGTAAATGTGTCATTCGTAGTGCTCTGCAGAGTCTGATGGCCGCGTGTGGAGCTACAGCTGCTGAGGGAGGTGGATGGCTGACGTAGAGGAAGAGAGGGACTGTAAGTGAGGGGTGTAGAGAGAGGAAGGGAGGATTAGGGTGGGTGCCTGCGGTGGAGCATGATGTCAGAGGAATGTGTTGAGCCTCTCCTTTAACAAGCTGGAGCCGTGTGGAGCGCCGGCCACCTCCCGCTCTTTCTCACACACAGTCACTTTACCCGCTTTAACTCTCGCTCTACACACTCTTTCACAAACACACAGGATCAGAATCAGAAAGGCTTTGACAGCATGACTCTAACTGTTTCATTCAACTTCAATGTGGAACATGTCTATGATGTAGACTAACGGATTTAGATTGACATTAAAATGTGAAATCAAGATGTAATATCAGATTCACATCCTCATTTAGGTGGAATGTGTTCTCACTGGTGGATTCTCCTCTTTGTTCAGCCCTCCCTCCCAGCATCCGTTCCTGCAGCTGGAGCTTGTTTCAGGGATTACAGAGATGGAGACGGAGGAAAGGAAAGCAAAAGAGAAAACAAGGGGAGAGAGAGGAGAGACTGGATGAGAGAGCGAGGACAGACAAATGGAAAAAGAGAGAAAGTGACTTATATAATGTGCTGGTGAGCCAGACGCTAGGAACAGCTGGAAAGATGATGACACATATTATCCGTGAGGTAAGACAGTGGAGGGTGGAGAGGACAGGCTGTGTGTGGAGGGAGCTGCTTCTATAAACCAACCACAGTGAAGTAAAGTGTATTTATAGCAGCACTGCCATGATACCAGAAATGAGACTTTAATGTCTCATTGAAGAGTAACCCCTTAACATCAACTCCCCCCCCCCACCCCATCTAATTATAACTGCATCCGCATGCCTAAATAATAACTAATTAAAGGGAGATAGTCATCAATTATGCCTCAATAGCAATTCAATCACCATGTTTTGAGCACATTAATCACGACTTAGTGAATAAATCATGTCTATTCCTCGTCGATACGGTTGACGAGAGGGATTAAACACAGAGACGTGATGTTAGCTGCTGCTTTAATAGGGAAGCTGGTCGTGACCGTTGGGCAGGCCTTCTGTTCTTGGAGGGTCTGGCAGCAGAGAGGTCTGAGATGGGATGAGATGGGATGTCACAGCAGTTGGCAAACAGCGGTGGGGTGTGGCCTGACAGCGCTGACCGTCATGCAGGTGCTGGGGGTCATGGCGGCTGCCCATCCGGTGGTGCTGCTGAGGCTGCTGCAGAAGAGATACGGGGAAAGCATGTGAAGATGAAGACCGACAACTGCATCATGGTGGCCTTTAACAACAGGCAAGGCGGAGGTCGGTCTGAGGCCCTCTTTAGGAGAGAGTTATGCAGAAGCAGTTGCATGGCATCCTAGTAGCCCCAGGTTGCTTGCTGTTCGGCGCCCTGCAGAAAGGACTCAGGTAATTGCAGCCCAGCCCTGGACCATGCCCCTCTGTCTCAGGAAGCTGATGTGATAGCCGAGTTGTCCACTCTGGGCCGTCCTCTCTGGGCCTGGCTCCTGATATGGACAGGCTGAGGAGGACTGGACTCTTTGTACAGGTTGTGCAGACCATCCAGTGGCCAGAATCCATCATGCCTGTTAAAGGGCAAAGTGGTCAGGGTTCCAACTCTGGTGCGAGGAAAGGAGGCTAGGTCCCTTGTTCTGTGCAGTTGGATCTAGTCTCTGCTAAAGTGTATGCAGAAGCCGGCACAGACGACGAGTTGCAGTACTATTATTTTTAAAAGTTACTTCGTTTATTTTTTGTCTTGTTTTTAGCACAAAAAGGTTGTCAACCATTTCTTTGCGATATGCGAATATAATGACTTAAAATGTGAAAGAAAGAAGAGAGAGAGAGAGACAGAGAGAGAGAGAGA